AATATGGATTTTGTTTTATAAATTTTATCCCTTTCGATATTATATAAAACGGTTCCGCTTTGCATAATAGCCCTCTTGAATAGGCCTTTGGATAGCGGGGAGAGTATGTGTGCGGACACCGACCAACTCCCGGCACTCCAACCAAAAATGGTGATCTGATCCCTATCTCCGCCAAATGAGTGTATGTTTTCTCTAACCTATTATTATGTCATTAATACAAATATTATTTCATTAATGTTTAAAAATTATGATTAAAATAAGCTATAAATTTATACCCATTTGAGAGCCAATAACTGGTCATAGAGTCCGACATTTCCGGGCGCGTCCTCCCGATCCCCGTATAGAAAGCCCAACTCTCCTAATCTATAGTTGACGGACACAACCACCACATCATTAGCGGCCAAAGCGCTCCCGTTATACCACGATTGATATATTGAACCCACAGCCAGTCCCCCTCCATATATCCAAAACATCACTGGCTTTAATGCTGTGGTATTTTTTGTCCATATGTTAAGCACCAGACAGTCCTCACTCATACCTGTGCCCGGAATGAGGTTTGGTTTGATGAAAAAATCTGGTTGCATACATGAGTTTTGCGGTTTTGTCGCGTCAATTATATCCTAGATATAATTATTTAAATATTAATTTTATTTAAATATTTAATAATATTATGGCAAAATAATTACTGGAAATGGTTTAGTAATTGGATTAGGTTTTGCAAACCTAAGTTTGCCGACCGGGGGTTCGGCGTAAGGGATGCCCAGAAATTGGTCCACATTTGTGTCCAACACATGTAGTGTCCGACCCCTCACTACTCCTATAGTAGTGTTCACATCAATAGTATTCACAATATTTATTGTCAAATACAAAATTATTATGTTGACAATATAAAACATTTTAAAACAATTTTGGATTATGCTTATTTATTATTGCTCATCACTACCAGAAATCAATGTTTTATATACAGGTCTTACTTGAAATAAACGTTAAAAATATGATTGATAACTCTATCTTATTTTACCTTATATTATCTTAACGTAATATGTTTTTTTCTCATAATTGATACGTAGAGTAATCAATTCAAAAAAGACTGATTTGCCAGCTGTGCTAATAATCCACTATTTTATATAAATATTATATGAAAAGCGTCATCTATGTAAATAATTGGTATTTTTATTTAAAAATTAAAAATTGTAATGTGCATAACTTATGAAGCATAAGTCTCATTATATGAATAATATTTTAATTTGATGTTTAAATTTTCACAAATATTATTTTATAACCGGTAAAATATAGCTGGAATAAATTAATTTATTTTTATAAATTTATCAGTCGGGTATACGGTAGTGTTCAAAGTACTTTGCCTAGAAAATCATGATCTAGCTGTAGGCAACCCAGATTTGGCACCTGAAACCCGCGTGGCGAGCCCAGTAGCAAATCGTTAACACCGGAATCAGAGTCCATATGACTAAAATGATCATGTGAATTAAATAAAACAGTAATTAGTTATGCATATGTTGTTAAATTATTGTTATAAAATTATTAATTTTATTGTGGTATATTAATTTATCTATAATTAATTATTAATTAAAATTTACTATGTTACCCATCGGTTGCGAATTTAGTCCACATTTTTACAACTAAATTAGAGTAAAATATATCTTCAGGCATATAATCGTCTGGATTTAGTAATGGCAGACCAAACACAAAAGGTATATCCATGCCGTGACAAACGCCCATGGTCAGTACATCACACCCGCCTTGTTTGGCGAACCACTTACTAGTGTATAAAAGTTCATAAAAGTAAACCCTTTGCGACTCTTTAACAGTTTGTGTGAACCGTTTGGCGAACAGATATGTCGGACAACCGAGTGTTATGTCGCCTATTAATGAACCTAAAGCCGTCCGCATAGCCGCCGGATCGCTAGTGTTGACACCTTTCAGGTAATGTTCCGTCACTTTCTGTACATTTACATTGTAAGATATGTCGGACAACCGAGTGTTATGTCGCCTATTAATGAACCTAAAGCCGTCCGCATAGCCGCCGGATCGCTAGTGTTGACACCTTTCAGGTAATGTTCCGTCACTTTCTGTACATTTACATTGTGAAAACCAAATGCATCAAGCGCTTTTACTCCGTTTTGAAATTCAATGAGCGTTATATGCGTTGGGTCTTTGGTTAAGAACTTGATAAACATTGAGCCCTCGTTGTGTGTAATGCCAGCGATTAAATCAATGTCTAATTAGTTTATGTATTAAACAAAATTATTATTACAATTATTATTTAATAAATATTATTGTTTATTTGAAGACGCTAAATATGTGTTAAATATTACATTTAAAATAGATTACTAAAAATAGCTCAGTTACAGACTATGTCATTTTAAAATGAAATATCGTAGTTAAACAACTTGATAAATATTGATTAAAGCAAAGTATATTTCAAATCAGCATCATTAAATGGCACAACATTTTAACAACTCAATAATTTAACAAAAAGGTATAAAATAGATTAATGTGATATAATTTTAAAATTTTATGCATAATTTACCCATGTTAAATTTGTTTTCTTTAAACGCCTGTTGGGTAGGAATTGGCAGAAATTCTGTGCCAAACACCGGATATGTGGCAAAAGTAACAGAATATTTCAATATATCTCTGGCGTCCGCTCTTCGCAGACATTGTATCCAATCCTCGGTTTCATTGCATTTCAATTGTTTGGCAATTGCTTTGGATTGTAGTATAGCCTCTGTCTTATTCAAAGCAATTCTATCCTTGTTATACATTGTGGCCCCGCTTTCCATAATAGCCCTCTGAAACATACCCTTTGATAGCGGGGAGAGTATGTGTGCGGACACCGACCAACTCCCGGCGCTCTCACCAAAAATGGTGATCTGATCCCTATCTCCGCCAAATGAGTGGATGTTTTCTCTAACCTATTATTATATGTAATTACATAATATGTTTTTATTAATTTATGTAAATTATTTTTTAAATAAGTGTATATTTAATACCCATTTGAGAGCCAATAACTGGTCATAAAAACCGACATTTCCGGGCGCGTCCTCCCGATCCCCGTATAGGAAACCAAACGGTCCTAACCTATAGTTGACGGACACAACCACCACATCCTTTGTGGCCAAAGCGCTCCCATTATACCACACTTGAAATATTGATCCCATAGTAAGTCCCCCTCCATATATCCAAAACATTACTGGTTTTAATTCCTTCACATTTGTTGTCCATATGTTAAGCACCAGACAGTCTTCACTGAAGGGTGAGTCGGGCATAATAGGCAACGGGCCGTCCACTTGTATGCATGTATTTTTAGGTTTTATTGCATCAATTATATCCTTGAATAAATATCAATATAATTAACAAATATAAATAATTTTGTTTTTTGCCCTATACAATTTATTCATTTGAATTTTGTAAATAGTCCAAAATGTTTTAAACATTAATAACATTAAACATTTAATAAATTATTACATTATAACACAATAAAAATTGTTTCGAGTTGTAATATAACACAAATGTTAATTATATTTGAAACTTACGGGAAATGGTTTAGAAATGGGTTCGGGTTTTGCGAACCTATGTTTGCCGACCGGGGGTTTGGCGTATGGAATGCCCACAAACTGATCCACATTTGTGTCCAACACATGTAGTGTCCGACCCCTCACTACTCCTATACTAGTGTTTACATCAATACAGCAGACATTATTAAAAACACAATATAAAATAATTATTTTTGCGACTTTATATAAACTTGACATATTTATTTTTGATTCAAAATAATAATAATATGATATAAATAAATTTTTAATAACTTTATTAAGTTTGAAAAATTATTAAGACGTTATATACAATATATTATCTCTTATATCTAATCAGCTCTTACAAATTTGAACAAAGTAAAATTGTAATAGCCCCAACGTTGAACGTTGGTACGAGGTTTTTGTTGTAATCATAATGGAATTGTTGTTACCCTTTAACATTATTTATGCTTACTATTATAAAAGGCACATTAGATATATTTTTAAATATGTTATTTTCTCATACATAAATAATATAAAATATTTACTAACTATTTAATCATAGTTGATAACGTTTAAGCCAGATTGTTTTGTAAGCTAATAGAATAATAAAAGATAATAAAACTTCAACAATACTTAAACCTATTTAAACAAACTCAATCTTATGTAATCTTAATACAGTTTTTAATTAGGTTAATTATTGATAAAGGTCCAACACTAATAAAATATAATAAAATTGTAATTTATAAAACATAATTATTTGCAGCTCATTTTTATAAATAATTTTAGTTTAATAAACTTGTACAATTTGTAATGATCTAGAGAAAATAGTTAGCCCACACGTCATCGCAAGTTTCGTGAAACGGATCCTTTAGTACAAGCCGTAAGTCCGTTGGGTCTAAACCGTGTACTTTAGGGGCACCGCTCGGGTCATTGTTTAGCAATTGTGGCCAATCAGCGTCCATGTGACTAACATAATTATTGTTACATATTTATTAAATATTGTGTTTAAACTAATTAAATTGTCATATATAAATAATTTCAATATTATAATTATTTAATTAAACTTAAGTTATCTGGTTTATTTATAGTTTTTAAAATTATTATTTACCCGTCCTTTGCAAACTTAGTCCACATTTTCATAACAACATTACTGTAATAGATATCTTCAGGTATATAATCGTCGGGTTTGAGTAGTGGCAGACCAAACACAAATGGTATATCCATGCCGTGACAAATGCCCATGGTCGTTACATTGCAACCCAACTGCTTTGCAAACGAATTACTCGCGTATAACAACTCATAAAAGTAAACCCTTTGCGACTCTTTGTCAGTTTGTGCGAACCGTTTGGCGAACAGATATGTCGGACACCCGAGTATTAGGTCACCAAACAGTGCCCCAAATGCTGTCCGTAGGGCCACAGCATCGGTAGTGTTGACACTTTTTAGATAATGTTCCGTCACTTTTGGCACATTTATATTGTAATAACCGATGGATTCAAGTGATTTTACCCCGGTGTTAAAGTCAGTGAGTGTCATATGCGTCGGGTTTTTAATTACTCGGCTAACAAGTAGTGAGCCCTCGGTTTTTGTGATGCCAACGATTAAGTCAATATCTGAATATTTTATATAAGGTGTAAATAAAACATTATTCAATTATTAAGCTTAAATGTTAATTATAATAGTTTAATAAACGAATTATTTATGCACTAATTATAAATGCTAAATTTGCTCATTAATAAACAATAAATATAATAACATTAGACGTGTTAAATATAATTATTCATTTTACAACTAAATTTATGCACTTGTTTACGGTAAAAATAAATACATTATATTACATAATGTAAAACTACCTGTATTAAACTTTTTTTCTTTTAAAAGCTTGTTGTGTACGAATGGGCAAAAACTCTGTCCCAAACACCGGGTAAGTGGCGACTGGATTCTTAGTGATGGGATATTTGAGTAAATCTCTGGCGTCCGCTCTTCGCAGACATTGTATCCAATCCTTGGTTTCATTGCATTTCAATTGTTTTGCTAACATTTTCCCCTGAGAAAAGGACTCGGTTTTGTTATTTACATCTCTATCCATGTTATAAATATTGGCCCCGCTTTGCATAATAGCCCTCTTGAATAGGCCTTTGGATAGCGGGGAGAGTATGTGTGCGGACACCGACCAACTCCCGGCGCTCTCACCAAAAATGGTGATCTGATCCCTA